TAGAGATGCTGGGAGGTATTGAGAGATTCGTGTGGATGTGGAGGCTTGTGTGTGTTTATTTATGCTCCGCCATGGGCAGTAACATACCTTGTTTGTGCCGTGCTTCTATGCTCCCACAGCTATGCTCTCCTTGCCTTCACCAACCCATACTTATCAGCGAGGAAGTATGGTAAAAAAAACGCCCATGGCCAACAAAATGTGAGGAGGCCCTCATATGCAGCAGCGGATTGGCAGAGGGCTATGACAAATGGCTGGCACTGAAAGGTTGCGGAGAAGCGTGGCAGGGTGGAGATCGGTTCAGCGGAAGAGGGAAGCCTGGGCCAGGCAAGCGGAGAGATTTACAAGCGATGGATAGATGTACACACAGAGAGGAAATAACACACGGTGGGGGGAACTATAACATCTACGCAGAGAGAAATAACAGACATGGAGACAAAGCGACTGGGACTGCAGGGCGCAGTCGCAGGGAGAAACGCAGAGAGGTGGAGTGGTCGCGGTGACCATCGGGCATACCGAGCACAGGCCGAGGGCCCCGCGATTGCCATTTCGGCCAAAGCAACGACACCCCCCCGTGCCTAGCGAGCCTCCGAGCGACACCGTGACGTGCGGCACGTCGACTCGTTCCTAGCAGCCCGAACGGGTCTCCGTCCACCGCCGGTGCCGACGGCCGTGGCAGCGCACCAAACCTCGGGCGGCAATGGAGAGTGGCGCCCACAGAGGGCCCCCCTCGGGATGGATGCAGGAAATGAGCGACGCTCGTTCGTCCGCGCGGGGGAGACGTCGCGACCTGCGTGTGGGTGCCAGCTGCTGCGGACAACCCCGCGCAGGATGCACCCTTGCGGCAGCGGCTGGATGAAAGGGAAAAAAACACTCCGCCTCGTTGTACAAGCTCCACACGCGCACCGCCTGCTGCAAACACCGCCCACTATCCGCATTCGTCCCCACCCTGGCACACACCGAGAGAAAATGAGAGACAGGGAGAGCGTCCTGGCCAGACCAGGACATTCGATAGCGTTGCTTCAAACGGTGCCCCCCGCACACACAAACATTGACTCTGCCCGCGACTGTGATGGTCATCTTCTCGCTCCACCAATAATTGGCGTTGCTGATAAACTACTTCGCACCATCACAAAGCATTCCCACCCATGCACGACAAAGACGAACGCAGCCCCGCGCTTACGCTCAACTTTGTCGAAACAAAGAATGACAACAACAACAAAGCCATCGCTTCCAGTCAACCGCTCCTCAATTCGCCTAGATTTTAGCTCAGCCAAGAGAGGCTTTCCTTAAGATGGACACAAGGCCGCAGGGGGTGGGTGGGGAACGGTGGGGCATGAGGCAGGTTGCCGCTCGAACATTTTTTTTTTTATCAGGGTTGTTTACCACGGGCTCAGAGGCCCAAACTGTCCAGTGGCCAGCAACAAATAGCACCTCCGATCAACACGGTTGGCAACATACGGTGCAAAAGAAGTTCAACATAAGTGCATGCAGCATTATTCACGGTGCAATAGATAGGCGCGTAACACCTTTCTCGAGCAGAACGCGTTTGTTGTAAGCGCTTCAGGACAGAGGCAATGGGATGGAGTTACAGAGCGGAGAGCAGTGCGACGCAAGAAGCGGAAAGAGAAGCGGTGTGACCTGCGACGTTGTGGTCGAACGCAGAGCGCGGATCAGCACGGAGAGGGCAATGCCGCAGAACTCCTCACTGCTGCTCCGTGGCTCCTTTTGGGTCTATTTTGAACGGCCGCTCGGTGCGATTTGGCCCCATTGTCCCAGCCACCTATTTTTCAGGCCTTTGAAGTGCAACACTTCCGCGAGTGACCTTTGTTCACATTTTCTTCAATTCAAAAAGGTGGCCACCCTGGGCGTGAGAGCACCACGGAGAGTGAGGGGGGAGGGGGGGTGGTGGTGGAACGGAGCTGGGAGGGGACGAGGCGACGGCGGCCCGCGGAAACACGACACGGCCCGGCTCGGCACGGTCAAGGGGGGCCCGGGCACGGTCAAGGGGGGCCCGGGCACGGTCAAGGGGGGCCCCGGGCACGGTCAAGGGGTCCCCGGCTCGGTCAAGGGGGACCCGGGCACGGTCAAGTGGGGCCCGGGCACGGCGGCGGCTATTGCCCTTTTACACGACAATTGTCGTCATCTGGCCGTCGTGGAAACGTGACAACGTGGGGCTCGGCACAGAGGCAGCCGCGTCCTGCGGCGAGGCACCACTCCGAACCGGCACGCGAGTCAGGCCGGCGCGGTGGGACAAACTCACTGTGCCGGCACCGCATGGCTGCCATGTTTTTTCCCCACCTTATCCCAACCGCTGTTCTTTTTTTTTCTCCTTTCCCCTTCCTTTCATTCGGGAGCAGCAGCTTTGGACCGCGACGCCTTCCATCGATCCGCTTGCCGCTCGTCGTGTAGTGGGGAAGGGGGGAGTCGATGTGAAAACACAAACACCGCTTAGCGGGCTCCGCCGGCCGCTTCTGTGAAACCGCGGTGCGCTCTGGGACCGCCTCCGGCCCGCGTAGAAATGTACGACTGACCGGCTGGCACCCACCTCAATAGGCCATCCCGTCCCTCGAGTTAGTCAAGGACGGGGATCGCAGGAGGCAAGGCAGAGCGTTCGCAGCGTGCGCTTCACACGGACGAGCGACGGGCGATCCGGCCACGAGGCTCGGCCGGCGGGACGAGCGCCTTGCGATCGGAAGGTTATGCGAGTCCAAATAGTGGTTGGGGGTTGACTCGGCCCATCATCCCTCCAGGGTAGATAAAATAGCGACCACTTTGTGGGACAATCAACGCTGGTTGTCCTGTGGATAGCCTCGACCCAGCAATAGGAATGGGGAAATCCACCACTCGCTCATTCGAGGTCATCAGGGATGCGGTGACTGGCGCGCCTCACCTACGCGACCCTAGTTCAATTTCTGGCTGCTGCTTACACTAGTGGCGAACAACAGATCAAGTTTAGTATATATTCACAATATACCAGACGTAGCACTTACGAACACACAATACTAGTGAGCTCTATGAATGTGGCGACACGAGTTCAATTCCTGACCACGGCAAACAACCGACATGGTGAAGTATGGTCAAAGAGCCCTCATTGAGCAGTGGATAATCACCGGGCATTCTTGGATTTATTTCTTTGAAAGGACCAAGGTCAACCAACCAATTTATTGTCGTGTAACTTTACTACGAAGGAGCGGGCCACGCCCGAGAGAACTTCTCCTGGGGAGATGGAGCGGTGGAACCAGTTTGTGTGCAGCAGGCGCTGGGTGGATCGTTACGTCGCTGGATTGCCAGAGGTGGCGGCGGCAGCATGAGGAGGTCATCATCCAGCAGTGGATTGACCACGACTGATGATGATAACTTGTGTCACAATTGGCAACATTCACTCTTTAAGTTAGGGAGCAGAAGCTTGCAACCGTCGCAAGCTTCTGAACGCACACACGCACGCATATATATATTCAGCGATTCCCTGTCCCAGCGGCAATCGACGATCCATTTTTGCCCCCTTCCCCACAACCCTTCACCAGCGTGGTGAAGTATGGGCAAACCACTCCCGTGGCCGACACGGCATGGGGAGGGTCGTCCTCACGTGTCAAAGAGCTTTAAATAATTAATAAGTACACACCCTGCACGCACGCACACACGATGACATCGGTTCAAGGCACTGGGAAAAACAGTCGCGTCCAAAAACGCCGGACTCAAAAGGCGAGCCTAGGGAATGGAATAAAAGTCGCGGCTATCTTCCACACTAATGAATGACACGCACGCATGCGCGCACACACACGCACGCTTGCATGGGAGTCACGGTTAGGCTTGGCAGGAAGCACGGAGATGAAAGGATGTTTTTTGTCTCTGCTATGGGGCGCGACGGGGTTTAGAGCCGGGAGGCAATAGCTGATGCATTAACTCGGTTATTTACCGTGGTGAGGGATGACTTACCTTGGCCATTTGCTCTCTTTGTCATTCGTTTTTTTGTTTCCCTTCATTTCGAGTTGCTCTCCCACAGGGGCCACGACGCCACCGCAAACTCCTCTCGAGCCGCTCTCTCTCGAGTGGCTCCGTGCTCCGCTCGCACCGCCGCCGCCGCCACCGCCGTCTCGACGACGCTCGGCCGGGAGGTGGGGGGGTGTGCCGACGACGGTAAAACGTGGCACCGACCGGGAGTGGGGAAAACAATTACGGTCGAGCCGCGCAATCCACCCCCCCCCCCAAAAAAAAAAAAACACCAGGAACTCTTGCGCTAATGTTTAAAAAAATTTAAGAAACGGACGCGGTGACCCGCTTCCGTACAAAACGACTCGGGGCGAGCGCCATCGGCGGACTCAAGCGCCAGAGTTAGCGTCGCGCGTCGCGCTCGCCACCGTCGCGGACGGCAGCCTCGACCGGAGTTTCAAATAAAGAGAAGACGGAACGCGTTCATTTCCGCTCTGTTGTCACGAGAGCAGCGGCCGCCGTGACGGGAGAGGGACTCGACGAAGCAAAGGGGAGGCTAAACCCCCATCGGTGATTCTAAGAATAAGCGGGAAAAAGGGGCCAGGGCCAGCCCACGCAGCTGCTCTGCTTTACTCAAAAAACCAAACGGAAAATTCATTCCGGCGTTACCGTCGCGTTGGGAGACGCGTCTCTCGGGCAAGGATCAAACAGAGCTGCGTCTTAACGCGCAACTTCTTGCCGCCCGGCATGCGCGAGGCAAACCAAATCACCGGAGATTGCCCTGCGCGCGAGAGAGGGGAACTCACAAATGTCCACAGAGACGAGATCGCTCACACTCCGCTTCTCAGATAGCGCACGAGCACACGGGTGCGCGCATTTTCAAATCATAAGAATAAATAAGCATAGCTCTTCATCAATCTGGATTAAGGCTTCCTCCCCCACCCCCATGCCGTGCTGGTCACGGGGGGTCATTTGACCATACTTCACCCGTCTGGTCGATGCGGGTTAGTGAGTGACAGGTGAGTGACAGGTGGAGAGAAGGGGGGGGGGGCCTAGGTATATCCGCTCACAAATTCGTAGAGATTGTTCTTGCTGTTGGCGAAGTCATCTCTTTTCGAGCCTTTTCTCCGAGCGCTCTGGTCTTTGTTGCGTCGCTCGGCGAGGTTTGTCTGCGCGACAAGGAGGAGGAGGAACACGGATTACCCTGCGGCCGCTTGCTCTGCGCCCCCCCCCCCCCACCCAAGTCCCATCCTCCCTTCCATGAGGAACTCACGGCGTTTCCCACGATGCTCGGCGTGCACGCACGGTGGAGGGAAGTTCACGGAGGATCGGGACGAGTTTCGGAATTCTCGTGATGTTTGAAGAGATTTCCCCGGACCTTCGGAACGCGAGCACTGCACTGTGAACCCAACGGCCTGGGTTTGATTTCCAGCCAGCAGCAAAGTGAAATCTGAACCAGTCATCATCCTCTCTTCACTGACCCTTTCTGAAGGTGGTGGCAGTGGCCATCTAAATCAGTCAACCCATGGCACCTGGGTCTGTCCTGTGAACTCCTGCCAGCGGGCATTCTACACTTCACGTGGCCTTGAAATGCACATTAGCCTGGAACAAGCGCCGTGATTGTGTCACCGCCACTTAGTGGCGAATGGCGGTTGTTGTTGTTGGTAGTGACAGTGGTGTTGGTGGCTGTGTTTGTGGTGGCAGTGGTGCTGATGGTGGTGGTGGCGGTTGTGGTGACAGTGGCGCTGATCATGGTGGTGACAGTGGTGCCGATAGTGGTGGTAGTGGTGGAGGAGGCTGCAGAGCCACAGCTCAAGCTTTCAGTAAAAGCTCCCGCTGGGCCGATTGGAGCGCGAGAAACACGGTGATGATAATAACCTGACTACGATTACTACGAGCAGCCCACACCCCGCAGCGTGAACCCCACAACACCCCGGACCCACAGCATGCACCAGACAGCACTCACCACACGACATGTACCACTCACCGCACATTCCCTCGGCAGCACGGCCCCACACTCTAAGCATGAAATCTGGAGAATAAATCAGCCGCCTCTCGCTGCCACCCCTCGAACTCTGGTCGAACTCGGGTCGCCAGGTTCGTGGCGCAGTGTACCAACCGCTACACTACCGCTCACTAGGTACATACACACACACTCTCACACCAACAAACTCACACACAAACACAGAGATTCCCCATATAACAATAGACTGTTGAGGCAAGTGCTGTTAGCAAGCAGCACCTACGAAGGCCGGCACAGCACACGAGGGGGTGGGTGGCCAGCACCACGCCCAGTCGCCTTTATCTCCTCAGTGGAGATGTTAACACACTGCACCGGGTACTCATTCGAGGCCGAGTCGACTTAGGGGAGGCCCAGTACCAGTTCAGATAATCGTCACTGGTGTTGGTGGCCACAAGCGGGAATCGGACTCGGGTCGCCGGGTTTGTAGCGCAGCGCGCTAACACCCCGCACCTGAGTCGCGACCATCGGTGGATAAAGTCAATGAATCGACCAAACATCGCTCCTCATTTCTTTTTTTAATCGTGGTCAAATACTCAGGCCTCTTTCAAAAGGGCTTCTGCACCCACATCGATCCCGCCGTCTCCCGAGGAGGGAAACCCCCGAGCTGCCCTGCCCCTCGCGGCGGCGGTCGATTTCACAGAGCCCCGTCCTGACACCTCCCGTCCAGCAGCACACACGGAGAGCACCTCGCCTGGTATACAGGAAGTCGTGGGTTCGATACCGACCCTGCTGTATATTTGGAGTCTGCGTGTCTCTCTCCCTGTGGACGCGTGGATTTTTCTCTGGGTCCCCCAGTTTTTCCCTCCTTGGAGCCAGCGTCACGCGTTTTAGAGTTTTTGGCTGCTATAAATTTCCACGTAATAAGCCACTTCGTGCGAGCTAAAATGGGTCACCAGGTCACTTCTGCAAAATAATCACATAGCTCAGCGGGCCTTACCTGGCAAAATAAAAATAGGTAGATAGGTTATTCCAAGCTAATTTTGGTGCGCGCCCGACAAGTCGAGCGATGGAACCGGTAAACCTGTCGAGGCATCGATGGGCATGGGTCATCGGGAACGTTCCACCGATGCCACCGATGCCGGCTCGGCAGTGACGCAACAGCCACAAACAACAACAGCTCGGCACGTTCGGCGTCGGATAACGCCGCCCTAGAGAGGGTCACAATAAGAGGCGGCGTTTCAGGCAACGGCCCTTAGTCACAGCGGGACAGCGCGATGACGTCACTGAGGAATGCCTGAAAAAGATGAACACGGCTGCCCGGCCAGGAGTCGAACTTGCGGGACACTGCCACGCACGCACGAGCGCCACCCTAGCGGGGAGCTGGCGAGACTCATCTGCATGTAAAAATGTCTACGACAAAGAACGGGAGGGGGGCGGTGGGGGTGGAATGAGGGGGGTCACGGCACTTTGATGTGCTCATGAATGCGTCGATGAGCCGTTAGTACCCCAGTGCTCTATCCAGCGCCACCCCTCCCACAGCTACAACCCCCCTTCCCCCTCCTCCCCCAATCCCCCCCACCTCCCTCCCACTGGGCAGCTCAACCTCACCGCAGCCCCCCATTCCAGCTCCTCTCCCCTTTCATCCCCCCCAGCCCTCCCTCAGCACCCCCCTCCCTCCCTGCGGCTGCCTCTCCCATCCATACCGACCCATCAGTCCGATCGCACCTCTGTCTCTCTGCGTTTCTCTCACTCACAACCAGCTCACCCTTCTCCCCCCCCCCCCTCTTCCAGCGAGTTTCAATATTTTTTTCCACTGGCAGACCCGAGCCGAGCCATCTAGACTATTTGGCTGCTGCTGTAAATGTCCACGTGATGATAAGTGACTTCATTGGGCTATCATTTGTGTCCAGGTCTGCAATATAAACTAAAATAATATTTAAAATGTTCCAGGTAAGGCCCACTGAGCTATGTAGCTCTTTTTCAGAAGCGACCTGGTGACAACTGTTTGCTCAACGAAGTGGATCATCACGTGAACGTTTATAGCAGCCAAATACTCTAAACGCGTGATGTTGATTCTAAATGTGGAGGGAAAAACCGAAGGACCCGGAGAAAAATCCACGCAACCATGGAGAGACACGCGGAAACTCAAAATATACAGCAGGCATCAGGGTCGGGATCGCGACCCACGACCTCCTGTATACCGGGCGAAGTAGTTAACATCTCCTAGGCACCGTGGCTCAGTGGGCCTTACCTGATAAAATAAAAATAGTCTCGTTTAGAGCTGGCGTGGGGCCATCACGGTAAGGGTGATTTTCCACTGGCTGTTTGCTGTACCGGGTCGTAACCCAAATGTGACTTGCCGTACCAGCGTGGTCCCCACATTGAGGGGAACCCTGCGACATCATGGCTACTGACCCTCACCATCAACCCCCCGACCCCACCACTCAGACCTCCACGTGGTGAGGGCCCTTCCCAGCGGCTCACAAAACCACGCCACGTTAAATATTAAGTGCAATCGTTCATCATCGCATTCCCAGCTCACTCGATGTTACTCTGCCCTCTGTTTTATGGCCACATCGTGTTTGCTTTTCGTGAGTGCTTCGTTACGATTTGTGTTCAGCCTGATCCGTTCTGATTGCGCGCGCTCTGACGGTTGCATTGCATATTTCTCTGCTTGCCCGTCCCAGCTCTGTACGCTAGTTCTGTACCACACTGCTCTGCGGTCACCTGTGCCCCTTTTCCGCTGGCACATCAGAGCCATGCTACGAGCCGTTTTCACGCCGGCTGTTTCCCCGCCGAGCCAGACCCAAACCGCGCTACGCTCGCCTTACCCAACCTCCGAATCTTGAGTCAGGGCCAAGCAGGGCCAGGGGAGGGTCTATTCAAGCATTCATTGGAGGCGAGATGTTAACTACCTCGCCTGTCATAGAGGAGGTCGTGGATTCGATCCTGACCCTGAGTTTGCATGTTCGCCCCATGGTCACGTGGATTTTTCTCCAGTCCTCCGGTGTTCTCCTCCACATTTAGAATCACCATCGTGCGTTTCGAGTGTTTGGCTGCTATTAAAGTTCCCCACAATAAGCCACTTCGTTGAGCTATCATTGCGATAGCCAGGTTGCTTCTGAAAAAGAGCTACATAGCATCTCAGTGGGCCTTACGTGGTAAAATAAAAAAAAAGTGTTTATAGTTTTAGTTTCACTGCGTGTGACGTCAGTCGGCAACGCGGCTCAAACGCGGCCGTGTCCTCCAACTCGTGAGCGGGCTCGTTCGCCGCGTCGCGGGCGACGTCCGCGGCTGGCCTCGGCTTCTGCAGTGGAAAAAAAACCAGCCCAACGGCTCCCGAGCGCACGCCGGCGAGTGCGAAATCTCTCGTTGCCGTGGAGACGGGAGGAAGGCGCAGCGGTTGGCGCGTGCACCGTGAAGCCGGCGACCCGACCTCCGTTTCCCGGACAACGGCCAACATCGGTCGCGGGTGATTGCCGAACCGGTACCTGGGCACCGAACCATAATTTCTCGTACGTATGTTGAACTTCTTTCGTAACGTACGTAGGTCAACCGTGCTACATCGGAGGCTCAAACCCGCACACGGACCAGAGTGGTGAAGTACATCAGAGACACTAGGCTAACAAAGGGCCTCCCCCCTCTGCAAGGCCCGAGCCTCCTCCCGGCACGAGCGGAAGCGCTCTCTACCCCGAACGCTGCGCCAGAAGCCACCGCCTCTGTGGGACGCGACCGGTGTAATACGTTCCTGGAAAAGTTTCAAAGGGGTTTTACTGCAGCACTCAAGCCGCGCCTCGCGACAGTTAAATGTTCCGGGCGAGTGCTATTAGCGAGCATCTGTTCAGGTTGGTGCGTCGCAACAGGTGGGGGTGTCGCCGAAATCACGCGCCAGCCGGATTCACCTACGCCAGCGCCGATGTTTACACATGGCATCAGCGACTCAATGCATGGCCGAGCCGACCAAGGGGGTGCCCACTACCAGTTTAGATAATCACTCGCCACTGGCGTTAGCCGTGGCCGGGAATTGAACCGGGATCGTAGGGTTCGTAGAACGGTGTGCTAACCTCCACCCACGCAGAGACGGACACGCACACAAACAAAAAAGACAAAGTTCCCCCATATAGCCTTTAACAGGCTGTTGGGGAATGTGCTATTAGCGAGCACCTGTGAAGGCCGAGACGGTACATGAGGGTGTGGGTGGCCAGC